TGTGGTGCGTCTGGACAGGCTCTCTAATGCGGAGAGCCCTTTATATTGGCTTTATATTGGCGTGTTCGGCTTGAGTTTTTCCTTGCACAAATCTTTTCGCTTTCTCTTCTGTTCTTTTTTATTTTTATGCTGACATGCTGGTTTTTGAAGGAAACATTCTAGTCATCTTAACATAACATTTAGTTTGGAATATGATAAATCAACCTTTTGAGCACTAATTGTTAAGTTTCGATTTTTTTCTGGGCTGATTTACTTATTCCGCAGTGTAATGGTATTTAGGGGTTTTTTCCTTCTACAGCATTGGTACTCCTTTTAAAGGTGCATCAAATCAATTTTATAGGTTCTTCTGACCCAGAAGCTTGCCAAATGCACACAGCTAAGCGGCGTCTTGAAATATTGTCGGAGAACTTCAAGTTTAGCGTCCAATACACGAACTTTCCAAAGGTTTGAAAGTTGTCGATGCAGATTTTGACAAATTGTATCCTGCTTTTTTGAGTAATTTTTGTTTAGTCACCTGATGGAAGTGACCCACTGTATTTTGCGCTGGTATCGCTAGGCTTGGAACGTCCAATTGTAAGTTCTTAGCGTTGTTAGTATAATTATTCTTTTAATTGTGAACGATTCAGGTGTGCCATGGACGCGGTTCGACAATGGAAGCTGCAGCAGAAAACGCGGCGTTCAATGCGATAACGAATCTGTGCACATACGACCAACCTGCTTCGCCTCACGAGCAGATTAGTGCTCTACCTGTATGCAACTAGGCCAGCCATACTTCAATCGTTGTCTAAATCGTAGCCATATTTTCACTACCTTTTCGTAGAGTTATAGTTAGCCATTCAGAAATCTGAGTGGCCGTAACGTTCAACGTATCCCACGAAGATATGTTCTACCTTCTAGCTAGAGCACTCACAGTGATCTTTCCATTCACTCCGGTTCATCAAAATGTTCAAAAAATTTCGATTCGACCGGTTTCTAAGCAGTGATATGCTTTATATGCATGCAGCACAAAAACTCAAATACATCGATACCATTGTCCCTACCGATTCGCTAGTTTAGTTTTTTTT